ACACTGAGAGAAAAATGTATGATATTTGGAACTATAATGGCATAGTAAAAAGATTATAGTTAGAAATATAATTTTTATAGTAAATGTTACCATAATATTTGTAATATTTACAATATAAGCATAGTATAACTGACCTGTGTAAAATTTTTACCAAGAATTAAAATTATTTGAAATAAAAAATATAGTAATAAAGTGGCAAATATTGAATGGTAAGAGAAATTAATTATTTTATATAGTCAATGCAATTGGAATATTTGGCAAATATAGGTACATATAACTATATTCCCAAAAGGTGCTTTATCATATATATAGAATAATAAGATGGTGACTATAAATCTGTGTTCATTCTACTATATCTTCATGTTTAGATGAACTATAAATATATGTTTGAGATCAAAACGAACTATAAAATATAGTGAGATTATAGTTATTCCAATTATTTTTTTCTCTCAGTGCACATGGAAAAAAGATTGAATTAATCAAATATCTGGTCGAATATAAACGATCCAGAAATTCCGATTGAAGTAACCCGAATTGTTTAAGTTAACAAGATTTTTGGTCGACTTAAACAGAATTCGGGTTACTTCAATCGGAATTTCTGGATCGTTCATATTCGGCCAGATATTTGGTTAATTCAACCAAACTTTTTTTTCCGTGCAGGATCGAATAAACATGTCTATCCGATAATGTGCGCAGTGTCGAGTATTCGTATCGCAATCGCATTGAGTTAACCCAACGATCATTTCGCGACTTTGTTTTTCTCTCATTCCCGTGATCCGACACGTGGTTCGCCGCGCGTAAAGAGAACAGCAGTTATTATTCGCAGTTGGTGCGCGTACGTGTGTCGACGGGACGGAAATTAAATTACGGGAGGGTTGTAAAGCAATCGTTGACGCATGGAAGAAAGAGAGATAGTTGAACGAAGGGAGGGAGCAGAAGAGGGGAAGGCCGCGAAACCCGTATATTCCTGCGCAACCTTTGACAGATTTTCCAAAAATACGCGTAAATACGCCCGTATGTTCGAGCGGGGACCGGCACTGAAATATATTGAATGAATGATCGAACGGGAGAGGGAGTTGATCCGGCCGGGGGAGAAGGGGAAGAGGGAAGTTCGCGAAAGGGTGTCGGGAAAAACATGTTGTTAGAGAAGCAGGGTATACAGTGGGACACGGG